GGGTGTGTTTGCAGAAGTGTGTTTCCACATTGCGTGACACGACCACTCGATTAAACCATCCCCTGATCCTGTACTCGATAAGGCTTTTTGAATTTCAAATGTGAAGGCAAATGTCATTTCAAGCTTCTCCTTTCCATCGCAGTCTAATTTTATTGTTGCCTCAGCAACCATGCTTTATGTAAAGTATGAAACAAAGACTTTGGTGAAGGTTTTCTGTGTTTAAAAAAATGTTTACATAATACACATTCATGACAGTCTGCACAGTTTTAAAAGAAAAAAAAATAGAATCACCAATTAACCTAACTCTTATGACTGCAAGACTTTTAACTGTGAGAGGAAACCAGAATTCCCAGAAAGAAACCACTAGCAAGATTGTGGATTTGAACCCAGGACCTTCTTGTTGTTTCACAACAAGCGCACTAACCACCACGCCACCAATCCAGGTTTAGCAAAAGTAGGAAAGCTATGATTTCTAGGCTTGATGAAGAATTTCCTGTACGTTTTTGTCCTTGACAGGTTACACCACAATAAATAGCATTAGCATACACTTGGTGTGTGTAGTCATCTACCTCTTATAACTCCAGTTTGAAATCTCGTGCAATTTCCCCCCCCCCACCACATGCACTGAACAACTTCTATGCACGGTTTGACGCTCAGAATGATATGTTGGTAAGGAAGTCCTCCCCCCCTCACAACAACCAGGTTCTGTGTCTGACCTGATGTGAGGAAAACTCTTTGCAGAGTTAACCCACAAAAAGCTGCTGGTCCAGATAACATCCCTGGGAAAGTGCTCAGAGACTGCACAGACCAGCTGACAGATGTCCTCACTGACATCTTCAACCTCTCCCTGATTACTGCTGTCGTCCCAACGTGCCTCAAGTCCACGACCATCATTCCTGTGCCAAATAAGTCCCCAGTGTCCTGCCTCAATGACTACTGTCCCATTATACTCACACCCATCATGATGAAGTGCTTCCAGATGTTTCAGACCCAGCTGCCACCCACACTGGACCCACTGCAGTTCACCTATCACCCAAACCAGTCAACAGATGACATCATCACCTCCACCCTACATCTTGCCCTCACCCACCTGGACAATAAAGACACATATGTACGAATGCTGCTCATAGACTTAAGTTCAGCATTCAACAGAATCATTCCTCAGCTCCTGATTAGAAAACTGAGTCTGCTGGGCCTTAAAACCTCCCTCTGCACCTGGATCCTGGACTTTCTGATGGAGAGACCTCAAACAGTCCAAATCGTTAACTGCATCTCAAACACCACCACACTGAGCACTGGAGCCCCTCAGGGCTGTGTGCTCAGCCTACTGCTGCTCACTCTGCTGACTCACAACTGTACAGCAATGTACAGTTCGAACCACATCATGAAGTTTGACAATGACAGGACAGCAAGAACGATGAGTCAGCATACAGAGAGGAGGCGCAACAGCTCATTGGGGCCTCACTGTTTTGCCTGCACTGTCTTGTGTCTGTATCGTTGTGTTCTGTTTGGTGTTGCACTGTCTTTGTTTTGTTTGTTTTTTTTGCAATTTTTGCACATTGCACTTTATGTAGTCCTGTGCTGATTGTCTGTTATATGTCATGTCATATGTAGCACCATGGTCTTGGAGGAACGTTGTCTCGTTCCACTGTGTGCTGTACCACTGCACATGGTTGGAATGACAATGACTTGACTGGACTTAACTCATGCCTCGACTGGACTTTGATACCAATACAGAGGTGCAATGAAAACATAAAAATTGTTATACAACGATTCATGCCTTGACTGGATGTTGATATCAATACGGAAGTGCAATGAAAAAAAAAATTGTTATACACATATGTATTTTTTAACTTGAAACTTTACAACTTTTATAGTTAGGAGATTTAAAATTCATAAAGAGATTGATTTCCAATAATTTCTTAGTTCCATACCGATTGATCACGACAGAATTACTTTAGCCAAATTAGAAAAACATTTTTTAAATGACAACCAGTGTGCATGCCCTAATTTTTTTGGGATCGCGAGTGATCAACCAGACTCATCACTCACCCCCAGTACAGATTCCAATGTACCAAATCCCTTCTTTGCTATCCAATCGAGCCCCATGTTGGTGCGCCAGTTTGTTGGGTTAATTTTATAAGAGAGAGGACAAATGTGCTCAAAGTGCATTGTGTTAAATTTATTAAGCGTTAAAGGTTCAAGTTAAAAATGGCTGCCATGTCTCTTTCCTTGTTCAGGAGACCCAAACAAACAAAAGAGCATCACACCCAAGTAGTAAATACTTTGATTGAGGGTCATAGAAACAGAATGGAAAGAGAGCATTCCCTAACACCAGAATTTATAGCCCTGTTTTCCTGTAGGTATCACAACCCCCTACTACATTGCTGAGAGAGGGTCATAGTCTTGTGTCTGTTACAGGCTCTTATCAGAGTGTCACAGTCTACATCCAAAACTATTCTGCTGCACACAGCTGAGTATTTTGAAGAATAAAACAAATGTGTAATATACATTATAAGATCCCTAAAGATATAAATAAATTCTAACAGTGGTTAGCTAACCACAAGCACCTGAGTACCTTTAACTATACTGATATTGTCTAATTGTGACACCATCTAATAAAGTCACATCAAATAATATGATAGAAGTTTATATTGATTATACAAACATACAAACATTATGTTGGAGTAGCTAATGGATCATAGACAGTGTTGGGAAGGTTACTTTTAAAATGTATTACATTACAGAATACAGAATACATGCCCCAAAATGTATTCTGTAATGTATTCCGTTACGTTACTCAATGACAGTAACGTATTCTGAATACTTTGGATTACTTAATATATTATCATGCTTTTTACAACAACGTGAATGTACTATTGCTGTGTGATTTATTACTATTACTGAAGGTCCGCGACTCCGAAACTGTAGTAAAGGGACCTCTGACTAATACGGCGGGGTCCCTGTCGGCTCGTAGCCGAAAAATAGCTTTACTTTGTTGTGTGGGTCAACTTTTCTTGCGAGAGACAGAGAGAGGCGTTGAAAGGCTGCTCCAACGGAACTTATTGTTTTCGGAGGAAAACACGAACACGGTGTACAGTCGAGTCTTAATAGCTTACTTACAACTGGGCTCGTCAGGCACTCTTCTTGGCTGCAGTGGTTATTATTATATTTACATGCTTCCAGCTCCCGTTTTTCCTCGATGACAACTCGTACCTTTCCACTCCCCTTTTTCTCCCTCCTCGCTCACAGACACATAACGTGTATGGCAGTCCATTCTCCCTGCAACACGGACTACACTGCCCATGATGCTACATTCTTTAGAGCTATGCTTGTAGCATTCTGCCTGTTAGCTTAGCACAACAACAACAACAAAAAAGGCGCTCTCTCACCCAGGAAACACACAGTCGCAGAGAGAGAGAGAGAGCGTCGCCCTGTAACCATGGCAACCGTAACGCTGCCGCCTGGAACAACAGAACGTAGCTGTCAAACAAAACCCAAACAGTCCTGACCCGCGACAACATGAAACAGGAAAACCAAATCAATTCAAATCAAATTCAAATTTTATTTGTCACGTACACAGTCATACACAGTACGATATGTAGTGAAATGCTTGGACAACTGCTCGTGACCTAAAGAAAACAAAAAGGAAAAGGCTATGAATAAGATAGGAAATAAATATGAAAAATTAAAAAGGGTAAATTTAACTAGGAAGGAATAAAATATAAATTAAGGTTAAAAATGAAATAACTGTACAACACAAATTAGAATGAAGGGTAAATTTAACTGGGAGAATAAGATAAAATATATAAATTAAAGTTGAAAATAAAATAACTGTACAACAAAATACACAATATAGAACTATATAAGAATGTATGAAGAAATATAAATAAATATATACACAATAACAGCAGCGTGAATTACAAGTAATGAAGTGAAAACAATGTCCAGAAAGTCCAGTGTGTGTGTAAGAACTAATGTGTGGGTCAGTACTGTGTGTGGTGTGATTGAGAGACCGTATCGCCTGCGGAAGAAGCTCCTAGCCCGCAGTGTAATCCATTTATTTCAACAAAGTAACTGTATTCTGAATACCACCTTTTTAAATGGTAACTGTAACGGAATACAGTTACTCATATTTTGTATTTTAAATACGTAACGGCGGTACATGTATTCCGTTACTCCCCAACACTGATCATAGAACATAACTGTAAAGAACTGAACGTGAATAAGCTAATTATAAAAATTATTATAAATGATAAAAATCATGTATATATATATTTAAACACACACACACACACACGCGCACACACACACACACACACACATATATATTTTACATATAGTGCTCAGCATAAATGAGTACAACCCCTTTAAAAAGTACAAATTTAATCAGTAGCTCAATGAACAAAAGAACAATTTCCAAAATTTTCACAAGGCTGAGTTTTATTGAACACTTGTTTAACTCCATAACATGAAATTAAGGTTAATAATATAACTTAGATCACAAAATCTTCAGTTTTACTCAAATTGGTTGAAGCAAAAAATGAATACACCCCGCAACAAAAACAACTACATCTAGAAAGATGCAGAATGGTAATGATGGTTTTAACTTTCTGAGAGGAAACAGAACAGGGTGTGTTTGCAGAAGTGTGTTTCCACATTGCGTGACACGACCACTCGATTAAACCATCCCCTGATCCTGTACTCGATAAGGCTTTTTGAATTTCAAATGTGAAGGCAAATGTCATTTCAAGCTTCTCCTTTCCATCCATCCATCCATTCGCTTCCGCTTATCCTTTTCAGGGTCGCGGGGGGCTTCACAGACTTTGTTAAGTCTGTCAGTTTTTTTAGACGAGGGCTACATACTTTTAATTAGCCTTTCATGCTCACTTTGACAATACATAGAGAAAGTTTCTCAATGCTAAATAAATATAAAACTAGAAAGAAGCAAAGTACAAACAGAGGAAAAGAGGCGTGTTATAGGCCCATTATAGTTAAGATGAGAAACTGAAACTCAGTTTCAGTTGTTGTATACTTTGTCTGTGCTCACAGGGTAGAGCATGTAAGAAGTAGTAGAGTATATTTGGAATGGATCAAATGTTTAGAGGTTGGTGCAGTTTATTTTATTATATATTTTATTTATAATACAGTTGGTACATCAAAGAATTTACAAAGCAGAAAAGTGTAATGTATATAATTTTCTTCAGAAATCAAAATGTAAATCAGTATCAGTAATATACAAAATTGTTGAAAAAGAAGCATTTGTAATATATTTATATTAGGGTTTGTAAAATATTTTTTACAAAGCCCTATGTCTGTTTTACTGCTCATGAACTGACATGAACTGAGAGTACCAAGTTCAGAAGTAATCAAGTACAAATACTTTGTTACTGTACTTAAGTATAATTTTTAGATATCTGTACTTTGAGTATTTATTTTTCTGACAATATTTTACTTTTCTTCATGGTATTTTAAAACAAATATCTAATTTCTGCTCCTTACATTTTCAGAATGGGCACAGGAGTGTCATACTCAGGGTTTAAAATGGGTTGCTGTTTTTTTTGCTTTTGCTTTTTTAGAAGTCCATAAGCTGCGGTTGTGCCGGTGTTGTGCCAGGGTAGTTATTCCCTACAGAACATATCAGGCTGACCCTACCACAATCTGTTCCCCCATCCAAATCACGGACAAACAATATCCCACATTCTTGTCGTTCAGATACAGAAGTGTGTTTTACAAGAATAAAATAGACAATTGTTTTCAAAGATGTAGGCTACTCAGAAAGGTGTATTTTTGTTTCCAGCAGATATAACTTTTAGCAATGTGCAACAATCAGAGCAAGTTGTATTTTTATAGGACGTCTGGAAATAAACACAGAGCCGTTTACATGTTGAGAAAGTATTATATCGTTCGTCAAAACATCCTCGTTGTGTTGAAATAATCTTGTCCGATACCACGTGGGAACAATAATTGTATCATTTTCTGTTGTAACCCACAAACTGCACAGTAATTTAACGACACTCATCTTTAACTTTTTCACAAAAGTAAATGATCACTATTTCCACGTCTAATTGGTTGAAATCGAAGCGTAATCAACTGAATTGGCTCTCCATGCCCAATGCGCAAGAGCAAGTGGACAGAGGTGTGGACTCGAGTCACATGACTTGGACTCAAGTCAGACTGAGTCATTAATTTTATGACTTTAGACTTGACTTGAAAAAATGTTCTAAGACTTGTGACTTGACTTGGACTTTTACACCAATGACTTGGGACTTGAATTGGACTTGAACCGGTTTACTTGAAAAGACTTGATATTTCACCCCAAATATAAAATTTAACATGCATATTATATAGAGATTGAAAATGTGACGTCATTCAGGGGTAAAACCGCAAAGGATTCTGGGAACTCGTGGCAAGAGGTACTAGCGCACGCAGGCTTTCAATTGAAATCAGTCACACAGCGATAAAAAGAAACACAAAAATGTCAAGAAGCTGTTGTATTATTAACTGCAATAGCCGGTCGCATGACAGCCACGGGAAGCCGACGGGTAAAGAGATCGGTTGTTATCGGATTACGTCGTTGAAGAGAAATTGTTCGAGCCATGTTTCCGAAGTAACAAAGAGGCGACGGATGGCCTGGATTGCAGCCATTCAAAGACCAAATATAACGTCCCAGAACACTCCAGCTCACAGGTTAGTCTGCTCCAAGCATTTACACGAAGGTCAGTCTTGTAGTTAATGTCATTTTCATAACATAATTGGTGATATAGGTTACAAGCAAGTCTGGCGCTGAACAGAAATTGTCGCGCTATGCTCCTTTATTTATTGTGCATAAATAGTGAATTGTCCTGACACAATATTGCGTTTCGCTTCTGTTATTATGGTACATTGACAAAAACATATACTTTTATTCACAGGATAAAACAGTTGTTTTGTATCACTAATTGCCCAGTACGATTACAGCATACAGTATTATTGTCACTGCTACATTTCTGTGATGCTACCAGAAATTATTTCCACTACTAATTAATTACCGTTGAGCTCAAAGGTCCTATTAATAAACGGTTAACGAATGTGTATTTATGACGACGATTTGTGAGACTGGTAAACTTATGATACGTACGATGGTCTTTCGTTCTACACGGTGCATTTCAAGGTCCTGCACCCATCCGGCGGTAAACTGTACCTGGGCTTGTTGCAGTGACCGGAAGTTACTAAACTTCATGAGTGTATGCACTCACTCCAAGAACCGTATGATTATAAATATGCATATAAATATGCTACGATGAGATAGCTGACTTCATCTAACTAGCAAATGTTGTCCAGGCTACGTTGGTGATGCAGTTTTTTTAATGTGTATGATATTTTTGTCATGCGATTTTAAAGCCGGTCCTACAACCGCATCCAAGAATAACATGCAGCTTATCTCAGAACTGTCGGTGAAAATTATTCTTGGAGCTAGGTTTAATTGAGCTGCATTTTAAAGAGGTGCAATTTCACAATTTGTGTATATTTTCTAAGTTCACTATTTTGTCATGTGTTGAGAAAAACACAGATTTAAAAATTACATGGTCTAATATTTACATTTAGCATAACTGCAACATTATTTTTTCGTTTTTTTTTTTTAAAGACTCGAAAGGACTTGAAATTCAAAGTTTCAGACTTGTGACTTGACTCGGACTTTTACACCAGTGACTTGAGACTCGACTCTGACTTGCCTGACATTACTTGAGACTTGACTTGAGACTTGAGGATAAAGACTTGAGACTTATTTGAGACTTGCAAAACAATGACTTGGTCCCACCTCTGCAAGTGGATCATAGAGGGAGTAATGTTCTTTTTTCTTAAATGTTTCAAATGAAACGTTTCTATCTCAACAAACTTAAGCAAACACAAACTGTTTGTACAGGTTTTTGCACAGAGTTCTGCTAGCTAAAGGTCCAGCTGCTTTATTTCACAGGGAGAGAAAAAAAAGAAAGAAAGCTAACTTCACTCAGAGAGGGAGAAAGCTGTAGGAAAGACAGGAGAGGAAGAAGAGATTTAAAGGTAATGACTGCTCAGTCATGTTTGGTAAACTGGAAATGTAAAGCTTACATGTAAGTCCTCAAGTTTTTAAATCGGGTGTTGGGTCTGTAAATTTGACATTCCAAAAGAGTGATTCTGTTCATCTGGATGTAGCATTTTCTGTGGGAGAAACGTTTCGTCACTCATCCAAGTGACTTCTTCAGTCTCAGCTGACTGCAGGTTTCCCCAATCTTATAAACAGTACATTTGCATAATGACTGAAACTAGCCCACTGAAGGAACAATGGGCTGGGAGGTCAGTTCCTTAATCTTAATTATGCAAATTCTCATGACCATTGATCAACAACCACTGACTAAAACCCACTGATCAATGTCCATGAGTACCATTCACAGAGAGTTGGGGAATGGCTGCAATCACAGCATTGTAAGATGGCGAAAGAACGTGAAAAGGGAAAGACCATCTCTGAATCTAGGAAGGGGCCTCTTTCGCCATCTCCCACAAAATGCTACGTCCAGACGAACAGAATCAACCTTTTGGGATTTACTTACCTGAATGATTGAGCATGCATCAAGACATATGTGACTAAATGTGGCAACATGAGGTGGTGGGGAATAATAATTTATTTTTTTCTGCTCATGGTCTACTTTACTGATTCAAGCTGAGTACCTTTATTAGAATTAATATTTAGATTGAAGGAAATTTTATTCCCATCTACTAATATTATTTTATTATTATATCACAATATTCAATTATCTTTGCACAAAAGTAGCTGTTAGAAAAACATCCTCCAAAGAGCTACATTTTACTTTCTTACTTTGAGTACATTTCAGAGCCTGTACTTTTTCACTTTTACTTGAGTATAGGTTGAATCAGTACTTGAATCAGAATTTTTCAGGACTTCTAAGTAAATTTGAAAAAACTGGACATGTGGGTGACAAAAGAAGTAGTAGGCTTAAAAGAAACCTCCTACGACATTATCTGAAAGTCATGAAAGAAATCGAGCAACAACCTCACATGGGACCTGAAAGATGTATTGTGCCCTTCAGTTAAACCATAATGTTGTCTAATGCCCTAGCTCTGCGTGTGTACAATCGCCAGTTACGCTTAGAAATCAAAGCATCGTATGACCTAGCTCTTAAGCAAACTGAGACAGGAGATGATTATGGGCCTCCTCCACCACTTTTTGAGCCCTGTATCCCAGTTTATCTGTGCCAACACTCCTACACCACTTCCTGGAAGAAGCGCCCGAGGAAACGAGGAAAGCGGGCTGGTACACTCATCAAAGTCCGAGCTCTTCTCCGTGCTTCTCGTGGAACTACTGGACCAGCAGAGTGCATCTTTAGGTGGATCTTGCCTGTTGTCCCTGGAGCTCCCACGACACTTGATCCCCCGCTCTCAGCATTTTATTTCCCTAATGTTAGGATCTACACACTCCAAATGGCTTTACTAAATGTAAGATCATTAGCAAACAAGATGTTTGTATTAAACGACTTCCTAAAGTCACAACAGTTGGACTTTCTGTTTCTGACAGAAACATGGCTTCAACCCGGTGAGTCTGTAGCTTTTTCGGAACTGGTTCTTCCTAATTTCTCATTCTTCAGCCTCCCTCGGTCCTCTGGTAGGGGGGGAGGCTTAGCCACCGTGTTCAATGCTCGATTTCATTGCCATCATACATTACAGCATGACTCATTCTCTAGTTTTGAACTCCAGCTGTTTGAGTTACACCTGAATTCTGCTGCGCCTTTGCTGTGTGCCCTCATATACCGCCCTCCCAAGTTTAACAAGGATTTTATCAAAGAGTTTTCTGGTTTTATGGCTGGAATCGTTCTTAAATTTGACAGTTTTTTAATCCTTGTTGATTTTAACATCCATGTCTGCTGTGACTCTAAACTTTTGGTCAGGGACTTTTTAAATATTATTGACTCTTTTAACTTGACCCAGTGGGTTACTGGTCCCACGCATGAAAAAGGTCACACACTGGACTTGGTGCTCTCCCAAGGGTTGGATGTGTGCATCACGGAAATATCCGAGTTGCGCATCTCCGATCATCTTCCTGTGTTGTTCACTCTAACGCTGCGCTGTTCGGTGGATAAGCCGTACGTCTCAGCGCGCAAAAAGCGAGCGCTTAATGCACTAACGGCGCCCGCTTTTTCTGCTGCCTTTGAATAATGAACTCCAACTGTAAAAGTGTTGAGGACCTTTCGGACATTCTTCATTCTACCTGCACTGATATCTTGGACTCTATTGCTCCGCTCAGGACTGTGCGCGCTAAGCATTTATCAGAGCCGTGGTTGAATGAACATACGCGCTCCCTCAGACGTGACTACAGACGCGCTGAAAGGAGATGGAAAAAGGACAGATTGCATGTTTCCCTACAGATTTTAAGGACTCGTCTTTCTGCTTACCAAGAAGCTGTAAAAACTGCAAAGACACAGTCTGTCTCAAACTTAGTGTCAGTAAACAGTCACAGGCCTCAGGTACTTTTTAATGTTCTTAATTGCTTTCTTAGTTTATGTGATAATTCTGGAGTCACTTCTTCACCAAGTATGTGCGATGATTTTTTTTAGCATTTTTTAATGACAAGATCCTATCGATTAGGGCCCTTGTCTCGTTGTCTGCTGCCTCAGATCAGAGTCCTTCTCCTGTGTGCTCAGCTGTCTTAGAGCAGTTTGATCCCGTCTCCCTTAAGGACTTGACCGTGGTAGTTAGTAACCTAAGATCATCACACTGCCCCTCTGATTGTCTCCCCCC